AGAAAGATCGCACCCCTCAAAGCACACATCACAAGATATCTTAATGAAGGTGATAAATAGTTTCAGGGCTATTAAAAACTAATAAGAGGCTGTAAAAATAGTAAAGTTATTTGCATTTCTGAAGACCACAAAAAGTCCGACAAGCAACAAAAAACGTTTTGCGTTTTAATTGACCCGCCAACGGTTCACAGCACCCTTCTTTTAAAAGTTTTTACGGATATTCTGTCTTGTTTTAGGTCACGATGTCATAACAGCGCGTCAATAAAAGGAAGCTATTGACTCCTATGGGGCAATAAAGGGCTGTTGAGCATCAGTTATTGAATTAGACACAAGAAAGTAAACAACTAACGCACCCAAGTTAAGTGGTATTAGCCAGTTACACAACTTCGAATATACTGAAGATGGCAGAATGACTGTCTCGAAGGCGTTTAAAGTGGGAGAAGGTAGGAAAATTTCCAAACAAGAGCTTGCTAAGGTGGGCCAGCCACAAAGTGAGAGAGGGGTGAAAGTAATATTGCCTTTTTGTGATCCAGTTTACGCTACCGGGTTGTTAAAAAAAAGCTTCAATGCACCCGCCTGGTGACCAAACCAAACAGACCGTCATTTCTCCTACAAATGACGAGGGCCTTCCTTGGTTCACTTGCCCCAAACAAGGCTGTATCAAGACGTTCAGAACAAATCAAACCCTTCAGAGACACTTGGAATTTCGCTGCCATGAGATTAAACTCCACGAAGAGTCACAATATGACCAGATCAGACACAAATGGGCCGAGCATTGCTTAAGTTTGAAACCACAAAATCCCTGCCTTAACGGCCAGTTAGTCCTTTGGAGTAACGGAAGAAAATGTTTTGTCTATGGGGTGGGCGCAGACTAAATCAAAGCAAGGAAGCAGGTTTTCTGTTAAAGTCAAGAACTATCTGCTCGAGCAGTTCATGATTGGTGAAGAAACTGGTCGGAAAGTCACACCTGCTGAAGCTTCAGCACGAATACGCACAGTACGTACCGAGGAGGGAGCTCGGATATTTGGCAAAGACGAGTGGCTCACTCCCCAACAAGTTAATAGCTATTTTTCGAGGTTGGCTGCAACGAAAAAAATCGATCAGCAACCAGCAGCATTGGTTAGTCTCGAAGAAGAAGATGCTGAGGCAATAGTCAAGCGTTCAGAAAGATACCACCTGCGCAGAAGGGTTTTCAACCAGCTAAAGCTCTAAATTCAGTTTACCAGTAACTGTTTGTGTCTTACTACACTGCCCAACTTATGTGAACTGATTATTTCTGTATTGATAGAAAAATTAAATCAGACTTAAGCTTGTAAATAGGCGAATATTTGCTTTTGTAAGAGGGTAGGTACATGTAGAAATTGCCCGCAAAAAAAGAGGGAGAGATGAGAGAGGAGGAGAGTGTGCAACCCTTGAACCATTTTCACCGCAGGTTAATTGTTAATTGGGCTAAGGCTTAAAAACTTTCACAGAACTTGTGATAGCTTGACCTTGACAGCTCCCGTCATGATATATGAAAGGACTGACTGATAGTTGTTGTCCACAGGTGTTGAGTGATATTCATGTGCATCGATAGCAATGAATCGCAATATATCTTAGATATATTGCCACTTTTCTAACATTATCGCTTTAGAATAGTCAACAATCCACTCTCCCAACCCTAGATTACCACAATACATAGAGTTGCGATTACCTACGCCGATAGGAATTCACGTGGAGATTTGTTTTGTTGGAAAATATTCTAGGTAAGGTTTAAGTGAAATTGTTGGTTATTATCCAGATTATAATGATAATAACTTTATTTATACAGCGCTCATATCCTGAGCTCATGGTGCTGATTCTGATTCTGTTATTCATAACCGGATCAGGGACGTTATTGAGATGAACAATAGACGGGTAAATGTTTGACAAACACGAAAAATGTTGCATAAAAGATGGTGTTGTGAGATTTACGTAAGCGGAATAATACGTTCATATGGACTACAATAAAAATTACAGTTTTAACCAAGCAGTAATTTTTATTGGGTGGCGGTGTGTCAGAATGCCAAGCTATCATTAGCCTGCAATCGTGCCTTCCCCATAAAAATTGCTGATCGCAGATTAGGCTGCCATCACTCTCTGGGAACCCATTCTACTATAAAGGCAGGTTCTGGCCGAGGAGCGACTGGGCACAAGTAGAACAAAATGGCGGCAAGTGCAATACCTGGTTCCTTGACCTCTATAATTTTAATCTTTAGCCAAACTAGACATGAATGCGAGCCTTGAAGAACTGTGCGTGGATATACAAATTGAAAAGGAAGACCGAACTATTGGAGAAAAGTTCAAACTTTACGATTTTAGGTATTCAGACTTACGAGTCTGGCTTGACTCCTCCGTCGATCAACATACAGCAGGTGTCTTGCACTCCAGTTTCCAAACTGCAGGACTTCGAACAGAGGCAGTATGTAGGTGTAATTTATATATGAAGTTAATTTAGTAGTCAATGATTTTGTATGAAGTCCCTAGATCTGTCTTTGTCCTTTACTCACCTTTATTTTTTTTCTATACTTGAAATGAAACACATAGTGAACTTTTGACCTTAAAAATTGTATGTGGCATTTAATTTTACACAGTTTTCTTCGCATATTTGCTTTGTATAATGGCAATAAAAAAAGATAAGTGTTATTTAAACTTTATAAACAACGCCGCAATTTCAACATTCAACGATAATTTTTCCACAAAATCCTTGCTGTCACACGTAGTCCAAAAAGGCTAATTTTAAAATTATGTCTACTAATAAAATACAAAACGCCTGAACTTAATTATACAATTACGGGAATAACAAGTTATTACTATATCTAATATGATGATTTTATCGGGAAATGGTCAATACATTAGTAGAAACTTTGGTGTGAAATTGGGTAAAAAATTTAGCACTTTTTGAATAATATCTGTCGTGGATCTTTTCGATCGCAATATCTTCTACAAGTTAAGGAATTTTGCAACAATATTGCACACATGGTTTTATCACCTCAATATGTAAACCTACCTAGAATATAAACAAAATCCGTTTTGTTCACTGTAGACATTTTTTTATAATGCATGGTTTTCACATGGACTCTCTCTTAAGCTGTGCTCCTAAAATTTTTAGCTGTGCGCCTAGAAGTTTACACCTGGTAGCACAAGTGCTTCGAAAGCCAAAAAATAAACTTTGAGCCCTGTCAGTACTCCCCTAAAAGGAAGACTCTGAGTCGCGACTATACTGGTGGATGCGTCCAAGTCATGCTTTACTGTCCAGCTGTTTACCGTGGGAAGTAATGAGGTAGTGGTGTCCCATGCTCATGGTGTAGACTGCCAGGAGGTATCTTCACAGACCCCCAACAGAGACACGCAGCGATGGATCACTGGAACTCTACCTGAGTGAGCGCTGCTGGACAATTTCCCCGGTACTGAAGCAGAGAGGAGAGAGGCAGAGAGAATCTTCCGAGAATATGCTGATGTGTTTTCCCCCAAGGAGAGGAGCTTGGCTCTACGACCACGGTGCATCACAGGATCCACACTGAAGATGACATTCCAGTCCATCAGCAATACAGATGAATCTCACCCAATCAGTTTGAGGAGGTGAAGGAACACCTACAGGTGCTGCTGGAGAGAGGGGTTATCAGACCTAGCCAAAGTGACTATGCATCACCTATTGTACTAGTCTGCAAGAAGTCTGGAGCACTTCGCCTGTGCGTGGATTACCACCGCCTCAATGCAAAGACCAGGAAGGATGCATACTCCTTACCGAGGATGGACGAGTCACTTGATGTGCTTGGCAGAGCACAGTACTTCTCAGCCATTGATCTGGCATCAGCATACAACCAAGTGGAAGTACACCCAGGTGACCGCCACAAGACAGTGTTCACCACCCCAATGGGCCTGTACGAGTACAATAGGATGCCCTTCGGGCTCTGTAACGCACCTGGTACGTTCCAAAGGCTTATGCAGATGATATTCCATGAAGAGCTACTGCAGATTCTTCTAGTGTACCTGGACAACATCGTTGTGTACAGTGACACCATTGCAGATCACCTCAAACAGCTTGAGCGAGTTTTCCAGAAGCTGAGAGAACATGGTCTCACGATAGAAGCAGAAAAGTCACAGTTCTTCCAGAGTCATGTCAAGTACCTTGGTCACGTGGTGTCGGCAGAGGGTGTGACAACCGATCCAGCAAAGACTGAGGCAGTGTCACAGTGACCCACCCCAAGAACGCTGAAGGACTTGAGTTCATTTTTGGGGTTTGCATCCTATTACAGATGGTTCGTCCCTGCCTTCACACAGACAGCAGCTCCACTCCATAAGCTGGTAGCCAAAATCTCAGAGAAGGGAAAGAAGAAGAAAGGTCCCACTACCAGTGAGTATTGGGAGGGAGAATGCCGTGAAGCCTTTGCACCAGTGTTGGCCTACCCTGATTACACCAAACTGTTCATCGTAGAGACTGATGCGTCTGACAAGGGACTAGGTGCTGTGTTATCCCAGAAGCAGATAGCCTACAACAAGGCATTCCAGACCACATGTACCATAATATGCCAATTACAGGTACGGGAATATCCTTTTTTCTTAAGTGAAAAACACTTCAGTTTTGCTGCCCAACGAGAGCAATCAGCAAATATATTTAAAATCTTATTATTTTAGGTAAGAAGCTGTCAAACCCAAGCATCTCAAATTGATTACAGATCTCCCCATGTTCAAACACCTAATCTAAGAAGTAAGCAAAAATGAGTACATATCTAAAGAACATTGTGTCACAGTTAAGGCTATCATAACGATTTGTTAAATTCCTGTTCGACTTTTTGACACGACCCAAACTGGCATTTCTTTTAAATTAACAGTGCTTAGAACTTGGTCTTAGAATACAAACACGACGCAAAAATAATTATAAGAAAAACAATGCAATTTCAACTAACCACCACCAAAGTTTTCAAGGTGAAGCGAAAAGCAAGTTCAGCACCTTGTCAAAAGAGGAAAAAAATTCTCTATTAGACAAATTTTGTGTACGAGATGCATTTAACCATAAACTTTCTATGACCACAGATGGCCTACCAAGGTCATATTTGGTCAAGCAATGCCGTTATGAACTATACAAAATGTGCCAAATTGACCCACCAGATGCAAACTTTGAAGAGGCAAAAGTAACTTCGGTTAAACTGTGTTCAAAGAACATATCTCTGATTATCTCAAAGAAAAACAATGACTTCAAACAAACTTCAAAATTTATTTTACTTTCATTTTCTATTTTGCAAACAGGGGAGTCAGTAATGCCTGCTTAAAGAAATAGAACTCTTGGTATAGTCAAGGGATCTCAGAATTATCACACAAAAGGAAATAAATGACTTAATTGCCACAGGTAAAATGACTGTGGATGGCCAAGACGTTAACACTAAATTATATCTTCGTGGTCATAACCCATTTATTTTGCCAGTGCTTGGATTCAAGGGGGCAACATCTAACTATGCCTGTGCACAAAACTGATCACTGGAAAATAAATAATGACTTCCACAATAACAACACTCCACCCTTGGCAAGAACACTGAAAGAGATTTGCGAAATGTCAAAGCAATCTAAAGAAAATTACTGCTGTGATAAACAACCTTTGTTGAATATCCCACTCGATAACATTGTGGTAGATGAGCTTCCCTTAATGCTGCGTGTCAGATATCTTGATTGAAAATCTTGTGTATGAGTGCCTAGACTGGAATAAATATGATCAGTTTGACAGTAAAAAGGGGGCAGCAACAGTTACTTCAAAAAGCTTTATTAGGGTAATCAGATCTTGCGTTGACTTGCGTTGATCCTGTTCAAAGTTCAACCTTTCCTCGACGCTGTCATTAAAGCCTTCCACAAAGAATATTGCCAACATCAAAATCTCTCCATTGATGAAGCAATGGTTGCCTTCAAAGGACAGCTTAAGCCTAACATGAAGCAGTATGTTCCCTTAAAGATGATCATAAGATGCATTAAAGCCAATGACACAAGCTTATCACAAGAAATTGTATAAAGGGAAGTCAGGTTTTAAGCGGTTCTTACTTAGCATATCGGAATATTGCTTTAAAATGGTAAGCACTAACTTTATTTTAACAAGGGCATACGAGTTTTATTACTTCTTGTCCAAATTCACTGATGTAACCGAAAAGAATAGGCCAGGCAGTTTTTATCTGAATTGTTGGAGGTTCCTGATTCAAAGCCCTGCTCAGTGAAAACCCTTAAAGCTTCCTAAAACACCAGCAAACCCCAGCAGCCAATTGCATTGAATTCTCATGTACGAGGGAAAAGCGTGTTAACTGTAATTACCTCCTTTTTACCAAAAGCATTAATGTCATAGCAATAACACCAGACTGTAAGAAGTCCTTTTCAGTTGCTGGAGTTTCCTTATGTCTCATCTTAGTGTCAGATTAAATATGATGTGTCAATCGCATTTCAAAAGTGTTTGAGTCGTTTGCCTTTACAACTTCACCATTTGATCCTTGCAGTATTTCATGACTCTGTCCACGGCTGTTTCAGAGGCGCGAGAGTGGAAATTTAGTTCACGCATGTCCAATTGACTTTTTGTGTTTAAAACCGCTGATAGCCTCAGAATAACGGCTCAGTAATTCAGAGCCCACAGACAACCTATATGCCAAAAGTATATGCACCTAGTTTGTAGAAATTCATATTCTATGCGCAGTTACTATTTTCGGCTTCCATGATCAATGTTTGAGCTGGAAAGGTCAAATAGAGAGGAAGAGATATGAAGCAGTGGCTTCCAACCGCCCTGTTTTCACGCGAAGTGATTTGGGGCGTCACCAGGTCTATTTTCACGGCCTTTGGTGTAAAGATTCGAGGAGACGACCTGTTAAATGCCCTCCTAAATTCTGCCACAAGTGCTACAAGCTTGCTTCAAGAGGAGGCACATGTTTTGCAATAAATGCTTGGCCTCCACATAAGCGATATGGCAATGGTGTTATATGCAGTTCCTATAAGGACCAACAAAAGCTTGGAAGGAAAAGAAAACCCAAACGTGGAGTGAAGCCTAAACATGACCCTGGATCAGAGGAACAGATTGAAATGGTTGAAGGAATGTCTGGCACATTAAGCTTTCAACCAGACCCGAACACGCTTTCTTTCTCTGAGGAGGTAAAAAATCTGAAAAGCTATCGCGGGATGGAACCCCTTTACCCAGAACAGTTTGTTGAGAACATTAAGCATGAGTACATGTGTCCAATATGCAAAGAAGTCCTTGACCAACCCGTCCAAACAAAATGCCAAACCCCCCGTATATATTTTGTGCCAGCTGCCTTTCATTTGCCTTTGAGACATGTGGATCCGTCTGCCCAGTTTGCAGAACTGCAACTGAAAATCCTCAGGAGTTCATTGAACCAGCTCCTTTTGTTCTACAGACTATACTATCAGAACCAGATTTTCAATGCCCTACATGCACACACACTATAAAACTACACCAGCTGCCACAGCACCAAGAAAGTTGCATACCAAACCCTGTGACAACACCTATACAAAATGAAACCCCAGTGTAAGGGGCAGTTTCAGTTACACCACCACCTCCTCCCCCAGTGACACCCCCACCAGCACTTGCAGCAGCACCTGCAGTAGCTGAACATGTACCTGCACCAGCACAACTTACAGAACCTGGTCCTGCTACTACCTATGCAGAGCAACTGACAGTACAACAACTACTACATAGTGCAAAGGAAGTATACAGATCACTTAAAAAAGAAGTTGGATTGTTTATCGTTCGTCAGTTCCTCTCACAGTCTCAGGATGGGACAACCATTCTCCTAAAAACAGGTGGCCAGGTAGATATTTTAAATATACAATGATATGTTCATTTTTGTTTTCTTAATGACACTACATTTCAAAACATGGCATGAACAACATGATTATTACATGAATTTTCAGCCGCTGGAATTGGTTAAAAGAACCAGGGCCACGAAAACAACTGATGAGGTGACAAAAAAACTGTTAGACAAATATCAAAGATAGTAGCAGAGACCAGAACAGCTGTAAGTGGTGGTGCTGCGGGGACCCAGTTGGTGGATGAATTGAAAGTAATGGGTTGACTGGAGAGAGAAGCACTGCTGAAGGTAGCCTTGGGTAAAGAATTTAAAATAACCATCCCTGGGGGTGACATACCTGCAATGAAGGCAAACCTTGGAGAAACATGGTACAAAGTTAGGAAGCTTAGGAGATAAGATTTAATAATGAACACAACCCCAGAGAGCCACCAACATTTGAGTAAAAATTATTTTTTCGCCTATTATTAATTTGATTATTTCCTGAATTCCTTTGACCTGTGTAAACTACATAACATTCGTATTGAATGTAAAATAATGTAGTAACAATAAGTAATAACAAAGTCAATTTCCACCTAGTTTTATACATTATAATAATATTGTCCTGAATTGTCTCCCTGCAGGTGGTTTGATCAATGGGGACTGTCCTCTGAAAGTGAAAAACATCAGCGGAAGCAAGTTCAGTCCATCACTGACCCTGCCAACTTGGTGTGTGAGATGGTGCCTTTTGAGTTCAAAAAACCAGGCGGCAACCCTGAGATCAAACAAGCAGAGTTTGGTTATGTTGCCGACCTTAACCAATTTGTCAACTTCATTTGGATGAAAATGAAAAGTATAATTCTTTGGCTTTTTATACTGTTATGAATGTTACTGTAGCAGCAATGTCAATCACTGTAAACGTAAAGTAGGCTTTTGCCACTGCCTCTTGCCAGAATTATCGCTTTTAATTAAACAACAGACTTTTTATATTAGGAATGGACGCTTGACATGGAATAATGCCATCCCAGAACAGGAAGTCCACTTAAAACTTGGAGGTGATGCTGGTGGTGGGTCCTGTAAAATGGCTTTCCAGATTGCCAACCTTAAACATCCAAACTCAAAAACAAATACAGTGGTCTTTGCCATGTTCCACGCCAAAGATACATGGACAAATTTAAAAACAGCATTAATGAAATACAGGGAGCAAGTAAACATCCTAAACAAAGCTACTTGGAGGTTGGTACATATACCAAAAATGTACTATAGATTCCTTATAAATCATACAGGATAAAACCTCCACACTGAGTGAGGTATCCTTCTGAAATTCTGTAATTGTTCTTTTTTTTTTTCTTGAATGTTCACGTGACTAACTCCATCAAACAGACCAAAATCTATAATCTTTGTTAAGTGATTGTTCTGATGAAGCTGTTTTAGACCATGAAGATCCACATTCTAATTATTATGTTCTCTTTACATTTAATTACAGGAAAAACTTGCAGATAAGCAGATAGAATTGGCGCGCTTTGATCGATCCGATGGACCACTAACAAAGCATTTGGACGTAGTCCTGAAGGAAATGAATGTTGAGCAACAGGCCTACCTGTGTCCTTCCTTGCTTTCTAAGGCAAGAGAAATTAGTGTCAAGTTTGAACAAGCCTTCAAATTATTTGCTGCTTGCCATTTTGTCTATGATAGTGCAGAATACCTTGATGATGAGAAGGTCGACCAGCTAGGTAGGTGAAATAACAAACTGAGTTTTTTTCGTAACAAAGACAAAAATGTTCTGTATCTGGTCAGTATGTTAAGTCTCATTCACCTTTTCTAGATGCAGACGTCAAAAAGTTCCTGCAGTTTATCAGAGAAAACCTCCAAGGCATAGCAATCACACCAAAGCTTCACATACTTGAAGACCATGCATGTCCATTTCTAAGAGAATGGCACATGGGCCTTGGATTGTATAGTGAACAAGGGATCGAAGGAATCCACTCTGAGTTCAACATGCAGTCACAGCATTTTGATCACATCAAGAAACAGGAAGTGAGATTGCGGCAGATACTAGTTATCATCATATTGCCACCAGCCCGTCACTCGCAGGAAAAGCTCCAAAGCCTAAAGAAAGGAATTTAAAGCGAAAAGCAAACGAATAAGATTGTCCTTTTCACTTTGTGGAAATTCATGAATATATTATACTCACTGAAGTTACATTTGTAGTGCGAAAATTTCCCTCTGTATAATAGTGGTGCTAGCAATGAAGCGCAAAGGCGTTAGCATGCAAGAGTAGAGCCCTTTTCGACTTCTACGAACTAGTAAATATGCATGTAAGCTTATACGTAAGATTTAAACAAGTAACTTTCAAATAAACCTGTTAATTATGGCACTATTTACAAACCCAAACTGCATTTTTTCTGTCAACTGTTCGACGCTGATTATCTCAGAAATTCAAAATGGAGTCTCCTAACCGCCGATCTTCACATATTAAAAACACCTGAAATGAGTGTTCAACCAATTCGGATTAAAACACCTACCTCCGTACGTTCTTCAGGAAGGTTTCACATCTTCTCCCTCTACTCTTGTGATGTTGAACAACATTCGGGGCCTTTGTAATGTGGAATGAAACATTTATGTAGATTTTCACATCATGCGTTCAGCTAAGTCCACTTTAACGACGCGATTTTGTCGAAAAAGACCACAATTTGGTCGATTTTCCTCACATTTTCGACAACTGCTCTGTCGATCTCCCACAGTCCGCCATGATAAATTTCACATGCATACATTACATAAATGGTGAGATTTCATTGGTTAAAAAAGGTAGAGGCCCCCAGGTTGCCATGGATGCTAAAATATGTGCGTGTTGTAATTCGGTATTAACTTGAGAATATAATAACTAACCGGATGGTTCTGCTAGAGCGCATGCATGAACTAAATTTCCATTGCGAAACAACCGTGCTGTCCTGCACATTCAGAAATTGATATCAAATCAGTTCCAAGAATCTCAGTGCATTATCCACAACATACATGAAATTACTGATGGGTGTGCAGGTCAGTGCAAGAGAAGACACTGCCTTGGTGATCTTTCCTGCTCATTGGCTACTCTCGGATATACAGTCCAAAGAAACTTCTTTGCCACTTCACATGCAAAAGGAGAACAAGATACTGCTGGCTCACATGTTAAGCAGAAAAAAACTACTGTATAGGAGAGTCAAACTTTGTAGCGGCCAAGAACTCTGTAACTTAGTTAAAACAAATACTGTAAGATAATTTAAAAATTGAGTTTTGAGCAATGTTACACCTTTGTACATCATAACTGTGCTACTGACCGTATGTATTTTTTAAAATGTTCTTAAGGTTACCCTGTAAGAGCATTGAAAGTTCTGTATAGCGCTACAAATACATATTATTATTATTATTATTTTTATTAAACCCACCCCCAGGAGAGAAGAGGAGAAACTAGAGATGCTATGACATTATTAAACCAATATACAACAAAGTTGAAGAAGAAAAAGACATCATACCGAGTTATCCAGGATTCCCGTTAAGGCCAAAGTAAACAGTTGATCCTTTCCCACAACCTCACAGAACATACTCACAAGTTACCATGATAGTATGGACCACCAAGGAGCAGAGCAAACATTGTACCTGATAAGAGACTATTGCTACTGGCCAGGAATGCCCAATGATGCAGAAGCATGGATAAAACAATGTGAAAAATGTACCTTGCCTAGCTTTGGGTATTTCCTTACCACTAAACCTCTAGAAGTCCTTGCAATTGACTTTACATTGTTAGAGCCAGCCAAAGATGGTAGAGAAAGTGTGTTTGGTAATGACAGATGTCTTTACAAAGTTCATGCATACAGTTTCTACCAGAGATCAAAGAACCAGCATCAAAGCTAAAGTGCTCCTTAAAGAATGGTTTTCAGTATGGCATCCCCTTCTAGGTATCCACTCTGATCACCAAAATATGTAAGCTGTATGACATCAAGTCACATTCTACTCCTTATCATCTGACAAGACCAGCAATGATCACTAGACCAAAAAAGGGCAGTTCATCTATCAGTGATTCAGATCCACGTCGTTCTTCAGACATAGTTCGAGACAATTTTTATTTGTCCAAACAAAATAAAATATGAAATACTCTAAATGTGTCTTTTGGTAGTGATTAATGTTAGAAATGGGTACATTTTTCCATATAGCGAAAATATCCCTAGTTTGAGCCACAATTTGTGCACCGAACATGCAACGGCCACCATCTTGGATGTATTTTACAAAGGTCTTAAAGTGCACGCAACTGCATTTTTCAACGTACAACTCAAGTGCTCCACTTGGCACAGAATTGCAGCATAATGCCCAGAGCCATCCTTACTGGGAGTAATTAAAACCTGTAGGGCTCTGCTGATCTCCGGCAGCCATCCTGTTCTGCCGACTTGGGTGGGCTTCAAAACATTGATTCCAAGTTCAGTTCCAATGCTTTGAAGTTCGCGTGTGCTCTTGGGGCTGTAGTGGTAAGTTTTCCAGATGAGCTGGAAAATGTCATACACCGAAGCTGTGATGGCAAATGCTGGACCCCAGGTTGACGCAATTCCTGATGAGTGGCTTTCCATGAAAGGGCAGATTAACACCAGTTTTGCGGCAAGGACTACGGAAGCCTGTGGCAGACCTTTATAGCAAAAATGCCTTATCGCTAGGACTTTCAACATGTCCTTCACCTTGTCGAGATTCTGTTGGTACTACCGATTTCTGCGGTTCAGTGCCAATGTGCCATCTCCACAGAGAACCAGATAAAGAGCAGTATGATAATTTACTGCTCTATATAATATTTTGTTCTAATTATCTAACTGAGGGAGCCCATTCCTTATAAGCCCGGTGGCTTCTCTTGGGCTTCCTCACCATGAGAGTTTAAATAATTAGATTTTATTTGACTAGTACAATTTATGGCAAACAAAACAATAAACAAATAATAAACAATGTGAGTTAATCTTGGATCATCGACACTTGAAGACCTCATCCAAGGGCCCCACGGTTGCTGACTTTGACCCCGCGCAGACGGTTGACAAGTGGTTCACATGGAATTAGAAAGCAGGAGAACGGCAGCAGAGGCCAGCATTCCAAAGATCTTCAATCTCATGTTGAGACCAAGAGCTTATTTGTGTCTTTAATTTAGACAACCGCTGTTTGTGTTTTAATAGTTTTAGAATATTCTTTTGTGATCTCGTTGCAGTTATTTCCAGTGTTTTCATATCATATAGTAACTTTGTTATTTCTACAGATTGAAAACTACCATGATTGTGAGTTCTCATCAATAGCAATTGAGGGACCAACGATGTCGGGTCTCCTCTCAATTGAATATCTGCGATAAAATGGTACAACTTGTAAATCAGATTAATGATTCCTAGCACGTTTTAACATTACTTCACTGAATTTCAAATAAATAACACCTATAGTATGCATACGATTAAACAGCATTTTTCTTTAAGTTATGTGAGTCATAAGTCGAGAATGAAGCACTCAATGTTGCACTCAGCAGAGGTTCAAGGGACTGCAACAAGAAATGCTGCACGGTTGTGGCCTGGTGCGAGCAACATGGCGATCCGTCGATCGTCTTCAGAATGCGAAGGGAAAGACCATTTTGAAAATAGAGCAAAGAACCAAATGGCAGTATTTAAGTCTAGTACAGTTCTTCTCCAAAAGGTAGAGACAAAATAAGGTATAAAGTTGACTTGAAACATTTGGCAGTCGCACAAAACTGTGTATATGGCTGGCATTCAATTCATTCGTCGTGGTTTTTCAGTGGTAGGTGAATAAATAATCAGCGTGTTTGTATTTACTCTTATTCGTCAGCGGAAAAATCGCCATTGCTGCCCCAACCGCCTTCTCTTCATTCTGACTCATAAAAGAAAAATTGGCGACCAAAAATTGTGGTTTGTGTTTTGCTGCAAACAAAAAATGTAGATCCACAACAGAAGAAGATCGCAAGTATGTTCAATCGGTAAATCAATCGGCTTTGGTCAACAGCGCCCCACCTCGAACACAAGAGGCCAGTCTGACAACAGCAGACCGCAGTGCAACAAAGAGAGAAGCCAACAAAACGGAAGGTATCAGTATCTTCTATATATTTTCCTCATCTCAGTATTTTCATCTCAGGAATAAAGTCCAGGATAGACCTTCTTGCTCTAGCCTCTCGACAAATGAATGAGGAAAAGGAAGATTTAGCGCAATTCATCGCTAACAGAGGAAGTA